GATACCATCAAAAAGTTTTACACTGCATTAAAAACAAGGCTGAGTCAGATAAAACAATGACTAATAGAAACATTTGCTGGGTATTGGGGGTGGGAAGGCAATGCTAAAACAGCTGGATAACTAAGTTTATTTTTTAATTAAAATATCATTTTGCAAAGTAGTTTTAGTTATTAGGCCGGACAGTGAAATCTGGGTGATATATGCTACCACCTACATTACACAGTCAATTTAAAGTACACGATCATGATGTTTCCTTCTGCCCTGAAAATTTAAAGCTAGAACATACTGCAAGTAAATAAAACTACAACTTTAATGTTTGTTTCCTATTATTTCAGTTTACCTCTGAATCCAAGACAACCCTAAATTTAAACAACACCCCCCCCCATAATTAGATTCCACACGTGGAAAAAAATATGTTTTTATAAGAAGACCTACTGACAAAAACTAAGAAGTCATAAATTCAACAAACATTACCTAAATCTATATTAAGTTCTGTCCAAAAAATCCTGATGAGTCCTACAATTTAAGACTGGTCACCTTCACATGCATCCTCACTATCACTTTTCTCTCTACTTTCATCTTCAGGTCCATCAATGGCACTGGATACAAAGAAATTTAGAACCCATTATTAAAGGCTTCAAGAAGTTATCCTTCCCCAAGAAGTCAAAATCCATTGGCAAAACAGTGATATGGCTGGCTTTTTAATCTTCCTACCAGGTATAAAACACATGGTTCCCTACCAAAAGCTTGTCTGAGTACTGACACCATAAATGGTCCTTAAAGAGCTAAATCAATTATTGTTTTTTTCAGCGTAATTTATGGCTATCCTTTTAAAGTCACCCCCCCACCTTCTTATCTGTATTTCCCTCGACACACAGAGGCAGGAATAGTCCCAGGCCAGAAGCCTTCAAAAGCTCTCACTAGGGAAAGGCTTCCAGCTGGGACTCGGGGGAAGAGGGGTGGAAAGAGTGGGGGTGCGCGGATTTACTTCTGCAGCTGTTTAGTTCCGCCACTAGCTCCCCCTGGGTCCTACTGCCCCTGGTTCCTGTCATCTTTGACAGCCAACCAGGGACAGATTAATATTAATTTTCTAAATTTTTTGAGGGCCCCTCAGGCCAGACAGAATGGTCTGGCAGGCCAAATCCAGCCCATGGGTTGTATTTTGCCTACCCCTGTATTACTGAATAAAATATCAGCCTGAAGACTCAAGTCTCTTACTGGAGCAAGCACAAGTTATTGTAGGTACTGAAAATGAGTTCTGATAACTCACACTCACTACAAGTGCAAAGATAAGCAACCCTAAATGCTAAAGCAAGTGGATACCTCTAAAAAAAATTTTGAGAACTGTCAATTTGTAGGCTAAGACCAACTAACTCTAATACATAAATCTGAATTCAAACCTAGACCTTCAAGAGAAAAAACAGCTACTGTGTTAGCTTACTATAACTCACTTTACTTACCTTCGAAACTGGGTGAGGGAAAAGCCATCATCATCAGTACGGGAAGAATCATAACTCCATGTATCATTATAGATCTGTGGAAAGAGAACAAGAGAGAAATGTTTATACTTTCATGATTAGATACTTTTTTTCCCCCTCCAATCCCCACACACACACACACACACACACACACACACACACCCCCCCCCTACCCACCATCCAGCTTTATCAACTGGTATTCACTGATTCAACACACGATTTAGGCGGCACGTAGGTTTGTTTCTAGATATCACTCTCCCTCCCACCCCCATTACACACTATTTCCATCTCACTGCATTTACAACAATTTAACTGTCCAAATAAGAGAGTCCCAGAAATAGCATTTGTTACCTTCCTCCAGATACTAACCCAGAGTACCAGGTTTACTCATGTAAGCCATCTTGCAATATTGTTTATAGATCCAAATACAGATACAAATTCGTGACACAAACCTTGACCAACATACAGCCAAAAGTTCTGAACTTTCAAACGAGTCATTTTACGCATGAGATTATTCTGAATTTTACAGTGTTATGTCTTGTGGTTATGTCAGGGTGGACTGTGTAGTTTTGTCACTGGTTTTTAACTAATAGATTAGACAGAGGTCTCAAAAATGTTGAAAATATAGACAGTCACAGAGAGCTCTGCAAAACAAGTCCTGCTGTTCATTAAATTCTCTTTAAAAATAGCACTCGATTCCCTTCAACCAACTTTATATTTACCAATTCCTTTCAGTAAAAAAAAATTATACCCAAAATATAAACATGGAAACTATCATCAGTTAAAATGATCAAAAGATCTTTCAACATAAAGCCTGGAGTTTTAGTCCTAATAGACACAATCCTTAGCAGAAACACTGTCTGTAGGATGGAAGAGTTATATTATAAACTATGTTAACCACTCTTAATTTCTAGCTCAAAAAGCAATAACTTCCTCTATTTCAAGAATCATTAACCAAATAACCTTCTCCAGCTATCTCTTTTCATATGCCAATGCAACAGTGTCAATATTCCAGCTCTTTCAACAGGTAAGTATTCATATTCTGTCTCTCACTAGAAACAAGATGGGAACAGAAGTCTGGAACGGAAAATTGTGCCAGGGATACCCTGAAATAAAATATAACATCATTTTGAGCAATCAAAAGTGTGGAAGACAGCCAACTCATCTTTCTTGTAATGTTTGAAGATAAGTAGAAGGGTGCTTTGCCATTAAAAAAAAAAGTATGTGCAAGTTGATGGAGATGACTTGGACAGTCTTCCTCTTTAATACCCCAAACTGTCAGTTACCAAGTCTCATTTGTCTCAACAGCTCACAAAAAAAAAATTCTTCTTGACACCGTATCCAGATGAATTTATGCAAGCCTGGGAAAAAGGTGGCAGATTCAACATGCCATCTCCTTTCAAACATATCAACAGCTCAAGTGCCCATACAGAAAAAACTGATTTTAGTGATGTTGGTATCTAGCCACCACAGAGGTGGCTAAAGAAGCAACCCTGGAGGCAAGACATACCACAGGGTTGTATAATCTCCAGAAATGCTCCAGTTCACTCCCAGCCTTATTTGGAGGGCAAGTACGACATGCATTCTATACCAACCCAGAAGAGCTAACTGGCCAGGAATAGGGACAGAGTGAAGTAAACAAATACAGAACAAAATCCACTGTTTCCTCCCTCTAGAATTTAAGGCATTAAACATAAATATATGAAAGGTTACCTGAAAATAAAGTAAGAGACTGAAGAAAAAAGTCATGACATAGAAATGAGGGAGACACCACAAAATGTTTACATTCTGAATAATCCTTTGACAGTTTCTCAAACATAAAACACAAAAACAGATACTTTTCTAGGATTGGAGAAGGCAATGGGAGTACACCAGGACCCTTCCCTCTGGGGAAGCAATGATCTCTTTCTAAAATGTGACCTATTAGAGAGGTGCTCCTCTCACCCTGAAATATAAACATACACCGTATATGATTCCAAACAAAAAAATAAATTAAACTAAATGAAAATGGACCATAAACTTTCAAGACATATAAATAAAAGCTCTTCCCCACTAGGCAAAGGGATCAACTTTCAAAAAAGGACATTCGTGACAGGGGGCAGCTCTCGGAGCCAGTTCTCATACCAGCCCACCCACCTGTCTCTATGGGGTAGTCCACCCAGTCTCACCTGCCACGACTTTGCTGTTCCATAAGCTGTTGGTATAATGCAGGAGACTGCCCATTACTACCCCGATGCCAGGGGGCACTATCTGCGGCTCCAAGCTCCCATACACTGCAGCCCATGCCTCGCAGATGGCATCCACATTATGTAATCATAATCTACACCAAGACTGGTGCTCCAGGGTCCCACAGGGACTCTCACTCCCTCACTGGAGCAGCGGGTCATTATGCTTCCTTCAACTCAGTCTTGGCCTCCTTGCAGCAGGGGACTTACTGAGGTCAGAACTCATCCCTAAATCTCTGGCTGAGCCCCCCACTCGAACTCTTGCCCAAACTATGGCCTCAGGCATCCACAACCTTGCCTTGGCCTCTTTCCCACACCTGAAATTCCTACTTCACCACTTCTAGGGCCTCTACACCACGCCCCACCCTGGGGTCTTATCTTCACAATCAACTTACTCACAGGGCTGGCCCTTGTGTTGCCCTTCAGACTTACTCCAAGTTCGGCCCTACTGAATGCACCCCTGGGACTGCCCATCAGGCCTACTCCCATTCAACCCTACTCAGCCCCCATCATGCACAGCCCTTCAGGCCTACTCCCATTCAACCCTACCTCAGCCCCCATCATGCACAGCCCTTCAGGTCTACTCCCATTCAGCCCTACTCAGCCCCCAACATGCACAGCCCTTCAGGCCTACTCCCATTCAGCCCTACTCAGCCCCCATCATGCACAGCCCTTCAGGCCTACTCCCATTCAGCCCTACACTATGTAGGGGCCACGCTGTACACTCCCCGTGCTACCCCTCCTGAGGTCTCCCAGATCTCACATCCCTGCTGGGCTAAGGCACCTACACATACGCATACCTGGCCCCCACTACTCCCAACATCTCTACACCACCCCCTCTGGGGTCTCTGGGATCTCGTATCCTTGCTGGGCTCAGGTGGCACTCTGCTTGCCGTGTCTGGCCCCACTGCTCCCACAACTGCCTCCAAAGCCCACCCAAAGATGGGGGCCAGGGTTAAGGCACCCCTTCTCATCTTTCACCGGGGAGGTAACTGGCCTGGCATTTCCTGGGGGCTCCCACACCACCCAGAGCCCCACCAGGCCACCCTTCCCTAGCAGGGTGCAATTTTAGGTCATGCCCAGGACCACAAGCCTCCTGCTCTTACCTTCCAGATGTTCCTGCTGTAGGTCTGCCAGGCAGTGTTTCTGCCTGGGCTGGCAGCAGCAAACTGCAGCCTTTATATCCCATGCTCTCAAAATGGCTGCCATCAACAGGCACCCAGTAGCTGCCCAACTCTGCCCTTAAATGGTGCCCTGCCACAGCATCTGATCAACTGTTTGATGCTTGAACTATCAGACTATGTTCAGAAACCCCTATAGATGACACCAGATGAGCTTAAAGGGAATCATCATCATTATGAAAACACTATGGCAGAGAAGTCACCAGCAGACCAGTGGAGAGCTGAAATGGTCTTGCAGAACCTAATCCAGCACTCCATCCAGTAAGCTAGGGGTGCTCAACCTGAGGTCGATAGAGCCACTGTACCTACCCCACAGGGATCCCTATGGATCAGAAAATTTGGTGGTGGGGCTCAGTATCCATTAATTTGGATACCCACTCTCCTGGCAAATCCCAAAACCCCAAGCTCTGCACAGCTGGTCAGGGGCAAACTATGCCTGATTTTCCCCCCCACTGCGGGGGGTGTGGGAGCACACCCCCTTCCCTCCCTGCAGGGCCAGGTTGAGGCTATGTCATGCCTCTTTCCTCCCAAAATCCCTTACTTTCTATAAAAATCATCAGTTGAATGTCTGACATACCAGATCTGTGTTAGATCTATGTTAGAGGGCATATCTGTCCAAAGTACTTTAGAAGCCCATATAGCTACTATACAGAGCTCTCCCATTACAAATCTGAATGATAGTGTGAAAGATCAGTCTATTAACATACTCAAATATGCATTTTATAACATACTTAGTCCTCTCAAAAGGGAAAGCCAGATGCCAAGTAGTACCTGGCTGCTTCTCTGAAACTTTCTTCTTGTAGACATTCCTTCTTTGAAAGGCCTAAAAGAATATTTTGTCTACTGGCTCTGAAGTGTCATGCATACTTACTATGGTTTATTTTTTTTTAAAAACACCTCACCCTGTACATATTTATCAACAATTAAAATCTTGTCCTGTGTTTGTGCAGACAAGGTACAGCCCTTAGACTTCTGGCAAATAGCTGTTGTGGCCCGTAAGGCTTCACAACTGAGTTACTCCACTACAGCTGGATCTGCTATAAATCTGAGCACAAAAGAAGAGGGGTGGGAGGAGACTAAAATAAAAGTATCCTGGACCTTAACAAAATCCAAATTTTCCTCTGAAAAAAAATTACCCAAAACATGTAACTAAAATAAATAAAAACTCTTGAATACTTTATTCTGCACAAAGATTTCTGTCTGCTTCAAAATGTTCCATTTATTTGAATTTGTATTAAATAAAAAGACAGACACCAGCAAGCAAGAGAGAGAGATCTCTTCTTACTGTATGTGGTTATCCAGCTCCAGCCAACATACTGTGTTTAGATAGCTGAAAGCCTGCCAAAAACTTTGGAAGAGAAGTCAGGATCCCTAGCTGGTTGCCATTTTGCTCAGAGACTGCAGTATCTGCTGTTAGCCTATTAATTCAGCTAGTTAAAAATAAACCCCGAAAGAAAACCCATTTATAAATCAGCTCCAGGATCAGATGCCAACAGTCAAAACAAAGAGAGGGTTCAACAAACTCCCTCTTATCGAGAGAGAAATGAACCCATCAAAAAAGAAATACTTCACAGAGATTAGCATATGACTGTTTGTAAGAAAAGAAAAGCAACCCTCTGCTGGCTGAGCCCTCCCTCTGATGTGCTGGCT